ACTCAAATGAAGCGAATTTCTTAAAGCATATAATAAACAATTGACCTTTTAAGACAATATAAATTAGTTATTGAATTAATCTGAATCAGTGCTCACCTCCCCTCGCTCTCCCCTTCTACCATCTGTCTGCCATGCTAGCCTCTGCAGTTCCTCAGTTATACCAAGAAACACTTCCTAGACACTCATGGACGATATTCAGTCAATAACCACCACTATGGCTCTCTCTACCAGTTGAAAGTTGGCATCTGTTCTCATAGGTTAATATTCATGCTATGCTAACTGTTAAATACTTTTGCAATTAACCCTGCATATAACCATACAGATAACTGGTTGTTTTGGTTCACAATTCTCCTCAGAATTCATTAGGAGGCCTTCTCTGATCACGAATTTTTAAAAACAATGCTCCCCCCTCTCCCGTATCCCCCCCCCGTCCCCATATACACACACACCACATACCCCTTGTGCCCTCATCAGGCCATTATCTACTTGATCTGCTTCATTTTCACAGCATGCATTGCACTCTGACATAATACAGAACACTGCCCAGCACAGGATGAGTGTTAAGTAAATATTTACTAAAGCAATATATAGTGAATCACATATATTTTCCAATCTCCTCTTTATTAAACTTTTAAATTATTTTAACAATGTAATTAAATAATTAAGGAATTAAGGCACGTGGATGTAGATTTAAGGAAAAGGAAGTCTCTTTAATTTCATAAAATGTTAAATTGAGGACTTAACTATCAAAAACTATCAAAAGCTTCAATAAAAGGAGAATCATTAAACAGCAATATTGGGAGAAATGATACTTAAGTATAAAGTAAAATAAATAGTCATTAAGAGATCTGAAACTAAAAAAAAAAAAATGAATAGAGTACCTAATTAAAAGTACAACTTTCTTCTTTCATGAACGGTTCCTTGTTTGCATCTGTTTGATCATGAATACTGTTACCACTAGCCTGTCTCCTCATTACAAGTCAGTAGTTTTAGTCACAGAAAGATTTACTCCCCGCTCAAAAAATCTGCCTCTAATATTCTGGCAACCTATACCAAATTCTAATAAAAAGCCACAAGTACTTGATTTAAGCTGGCAGGCAAGTCATTTGTCTAAGATTCAACTTAATGGCTGGCTGCCTGAGTCCCCTGAATTTAATCATGAACTTTTAATTCCCATTCGGAAAGAAATTTCTTTTGGAAAATAGCTAAATCTGAAGAAATATTAAACTTAACAAGGCAAATAAACTTCCAAAGTACAATTTAAATGTTAAAGTTGAACTCGATGTCTTTCTAACCTATATTTTACCAAGCCTTAAATTTTACCTCAAATCTTAGATCTCCAACCCAATATTACCATTTAATGATGTTCCTTTTATAGAGACTTATAGTATAATTGTTAAAATGTTAAAATCTTTTTCAATTTAACATTTTATGGAATCAAAGATACTTTCTTTCCCTTGAACCCACATCCATGTTCCTTCAAATAAACAGTTTATTGTAGTCGCTATAAAGTCTACACTCCACAATCTAGACATAGTAGTTAAGAGCATGGGCTCCAGTCTCAGCTCTGCCTCTGATCAGTTATGTTATCTTGTGTAAGTCATTTACCGTGTTAAGCTTCAGCTCCTCGTTCATAATATTGTGTGGGGTTAATAACACAATATTGTATGGTATTCATAACAATTCTTCATAGGAACATATAAGGGTTACATGAGATAACGCATATGAAAAGCTCAGCTGTACCTGGCTCCTAGCAATTGCTCAGTGAATCCAATTCATCAACAAATATTTACTGAACAACTACTATGGGTTCACACTGTTCTAGGTACTGAGATACAGCTGTACTAATTGTGAAATGTAATTCTGGCGCATATGAAACTTACATTTCACTTGGGGAAGACAGACAACTAAAAATACATCATACAATATAATCTCAGATACATAACCATAACAAAGAGAAATTAGGAAGTGGAAGGGGGGAACGAAGGAACGAAGGAGGTGAGGTTTTATTTCACACATGGTAGTCAGAAAAGGCCTCCCTGATAATGACATCTGAACAGAAACTGAACTAAGTAAAGAACAGGCCATGTGCATAGCCAATGTGTAAGAACAGGCCATCCTTATGTCCAATATAAGGATGATGATCATGGGTGATCGGTATCTCCTGTTTACAACAATGCCTTTCATCTTCCATATCTTCACACAGGCTTTGGGAGGCAGTGTAGAAGAAATCCGCCCATGGAGGGTAAGGGATGACTGTCTTGGGTGCCACTGGCTTTATCACCAATTGAATTATTTCTCTATCTCTAAATTGTCTAGTTGCTTGTACCTCTGAAGTTAAGAAAGAGCCACTATGGCCACTATGTCCTCTAGTTAGGCATTATGATGATATATTTATATTTTTATGGGTAAGAGAGAAATGAGAGTGTCTTAGAAGTAAGTTGCTATAAACAGAAATTATATTGAGACCTAAATAGCATTCTTTATGTAGGCTAAAAAGGAAGCCTGGCAAGATGGAAATTAGATGTTTTACAGCACATTATATGGTCAAAGACATTAACTTCTTACACAAATTAAATCAAGAAATAGATTCCAATTATAGGAGTACGAATAACTTCTCAAAGGAAGACACATAACAGATAATACAACCATAGCAAAATCCATATCAGTTTATTCTCTGCTCATACTGAAAATGATCTAACTTTCACAACCTCTGCTTTGTGATTTGCAGGTAAAAGAGTAACACCATTCTTTAAATCAAGTGTATAACAATATTTACAACAGAGATAATGACTTGTGTATTTCAAATATCAGTACTTTAGATCAGATTAATATAATAGCTATATAAACTTTAACTCTTTGCCTCATAAAACAATCATATAGATAGCCCCTTAATCTTCTATGGCTTTCAGTTTATAGTCATTTTCATAGCTAATATCATAAAATGATAAGACAATCCCCTCCATGGCCAGTGCTGGGGGTTTGGGAGAAAGAGAACAACTGGCTATGGAACAGCCCAGAGAATCTATTCCACATATTTGGGCTTATTGTCATGAAAAATTTTATATAGCAAGAGATGCAGCTTTATTTGAAATTAAATATTCCCCCTCAAGACATGATCTGCATTTTTATGTATCTCTTCTATGGTTTGAGTAGCTGAGTATTTGGTGGTACCATTTACTAAAAAAGAACAAATTTTGGAGTTAAAGGTGCTAAACTCAGTTTAGGTGAAAAGTAGAAAAAAACATTAGTTTGGGGAAATATATAAATCTGAACTATAAGTTTGCAAATCACTGATGTATAAATAGTAAATGAAGCCATGAGAATAGATCGCCTTAACTAAATAAAAGATCACTTAGAATTCTGCAAAACAATTGCAGTTACTTCTTCATTGATGGAAGAGGAAACGTGGGTAGGCTTTTTACTATTTTTTTTTTTTAAGATTTTTATTGGGGAATTGGGGGATGGGAATAGCGCTGGGGAATTGGGGGAGGGGTAACAGACAAGTTGCTGTCCTTTTGTTCTTCAGTCTAGTTGTGGAGGACGTTGCTTCACTGGCCCAAGTTGGCACCGTCTTTGCGCTCTTCCCGGTGAGGCAGATTAGTCGCCGGCTTCTGGACCGCCACTCACGCTGGGCTGCTGGCTATACATGGTAGCCCATGGCAACCCACTGCAACAGGGCCTGCAGCCTATGCCATTGCCAGCGACTCACGGCAGCCCAGCTCCAGGTTGAGCTGTTGTTCAGCATCTTAGCTGTGGAGGGCTGTGTAACTGGCCCTCGTATGTGGGATCCGAACCAGGGACCTCTGGCCTCCCAAGCTAGCTCTTAACCAGCGCGCCACTCGGTCAGCCCAGCTTTTTACTTTTTACTAGAGAAAAAAATGTGACAACCTGTTCCAGACTAAAAGACAATTTTTATAGGGTTTTATGCAGCCAAAGTGGAGAAAAAAAGCGAATGGGAAAATACTAACAAATGAGCCAAACTCATAATTCTAGAAAATTGTGCAAGGAGGTTAATTCCTTAGCCACAGAATTAGTGTTTAGCAACTGTCAAAATCTTCTGTGAGAGGAATGTTTTAAGCTCAGCCCATAAGTAAAGGCTGAGTAGTAAACTACAAGTACAAATATTGACATTATATTCTAGGCTAACAAAGGGAGGCATAACAATTGTCTTTTAAATTTCCTTTGCTGAATCTGGATTATACACTAGCATTCTTGGGAATAACACTTAGTCCATATTAAAAGTCATCCCTAGATATATAAAAAACAATTCAGCAACTATTAACCTTCCCTGTTTCTATACTGTTCTTCATATTAAACAGCCCCCAATGGAAAGGATTCTCGCCGACCCCAACCCAATTCCTTAAACATCGAAAGTGCTCAGAAGCTAAGCCAGCTGCATTATTCCATTTTGGTAGAGGCCCCACAGATTTTACCTTAAAAACACAAATCTTCCTTATGCCCACTCCTTACTTCACAAATCTCTTAAAGCAAATGAAAGTTGTATGTCCTGTGATAGATCCGAGAGACAAAAAAGACCTAGAACTATCTCTCACCCAGCTACCTGGCTCCCCATAGGGAAGTTATAATTTACAGCCTTTGAAAAGAGTAGTATAGTTTTTTAAAGTTCCAATATCTTATAAATATATTGTAAACACCCCAAATTAAAATTCTAATTTATTCATGATTGAAGGATCTTTTCTTTGACTTCTACATCTTATAATCTTTTATAAACTAAACCTTTCAAAGGCTGAACCTCATAAAGCGACGAAAAGCTTCATCTTTCAAGAAAAACCGGAAAGAAAAAAAAAAAACAAAGACAGGCCATTTGTAACCTAGCAAACACTGAATAAAAAGGCAACCCATCTGAATAAAACCAAGGAAACTGTTTCAACTATATTTGTACTAGTGGTAATCACAATAATCTAAGAACTTTATTTACTGTGGGAAATGTTAACTCATGAAACAGTCTTTAGAAAGTAGTGTGTCTATGCACCTACCTTAGGAATGGGATTCAGCAGCACCACACCTGACTTCTTAGTGATGACCTGTTTCGTGGTATAGTGATGATCTATGAGCTGAGGGATGTTTGAAAACCCAGTGCCTTCAAATCGATACATATTCTGGACAAAGAACAATAAAGTAGAATAAATATAAAGTCACTGCTTCAGCATGACTGCATTTATCAGGAAGATTCATTTAAGAAAAACCACTGTTGCACAATGGTGCGTATATACTTAACACTACTAAGCTATACACTTAAAAACGGTTAAGTTGGTAAAAATAAAAAGATAAATAAAACTCCAACATGCTAAAAAATATGTACCTTTCCATCGAGAGATCAATTTTCATAACTATTCAATGTAATTCAGATTCGTAAAAAGGAAAAGGAAGAAAAAGAAAATTAACAAACAAACCTGGAATGTATTGTGCTAAAATGATAACCAAAGGAAATACGGTGTGAGAGCCATTTGAGTTAAGGAACAGGGATATGCTTACATATATGTTCCATTTGATAAAACTTGCAAGATCCAAAATAATGTCAAAAGTTTGAGGAAGCATATCCAATATATTATTTTAAGAATACCACTGCTGATCATTTATTTCTTATTTATCAATATAATATTCACTGAATTTTCTACACTAGGGGTTATTCGTGTATAGTCTTTCACCAAAATGATGGTCATTCACACACTTTGAGGAATAATGCATCAGTGACAAAATTGCAGGAATGAATCAGCACGCTCAAATCTCAGAACTTTTGATTTCATAACATCAGGTAAGTAACATTTTCCCAAACTCTGCCAAGACCCTTTTTCTGTCTTCATAGTTTAATAGGCATGCAGGTTAGTTATCACATGGAAAAATTGATAGCAACAAATTTAGCAAGAAAAATCATCTTATTGGTCATACTTTTCAATATAAGAAGCATTGCAATGCAGTGTAATGTAATGACAACTTCCATCTGATTATTCACAAAGAGCTCACGTGTACATACGTAGGTGATATGCATAGATACGAGTGTGTTCCACTTTAATAAAACTCTATGCTAAGAAATCAGAGCTTTCAAAATGTTCTCAATTTGGATATTACATTACTAAAAGCTAACTTTCCCAGTTAAAGGAAAAAGACCTCAAAACTCCTTTTCCACAGTATAAAATAAGATTCAATTTACCAGAATTTAATTTATATGCAATTTTAAATGAATATGTCTGTTTTATCAAGTTAGGAACAAACAAACATGCGTTAGCTTACTTTAACACTTAACTATAGAATATAATTCAATTCAAGGCCATTTATGTTAAAGTTAATTCAGGGCAATTGTTAATAAATTTCTCCCCGAATTTTTGTATATCACAGCCATGTACATGGCTAGCAATGATGTTAGCCATGATGCTTAGCAATGATACTTAAGAATATTTCACACTGAAGACACTAATGTATTACTAGGTGTGCAATGCACTGAGCAAGTTCTCTCAGTGTTTCAATTTATTCATTGGTGAAACAGAAATAATATTTGGACCTTCTCACAGAATAAGTGTGAGGCTTGACTAAATATTAACATGCAAATCACCACCCAGTGTATGGCCCATGGTACACACTGAATTATTAAATCACCATACAAATAATAAATCTTGGAATACAAAAATAATCCCAAATCTGAGTATAAGAAACATTTTCAAAGAGCACTTAAAAGTGTAAATTACATTTTCTCAAAATATAATGATTATAAATAATCAAATATCCTAAAAATTCATATAAGCATTCTTATATGAAATTAAGAAATGAAGAAATGTAAAGTTATAGCTGTGTAACATGTAATAACAATAACGATAATATTTCAACCAAATATGCAGTATTGTATGTTTGAAAGTTGCTGAGATCTTAAGCATTCTCACCACACATACATACACAAAAAAGAGTTAAGTACATGAGGTGATGGATGTGGTAATTATCTTGACCGTGGTAATCATTCTATAATGTATATAAAATCATTATGCTGTAGTACATTTTAAGTACATATAATTATATTTGTTAATTATTCCTTAATATAATTTTATGTAAAGTGTTCACTTTAATTATTTGAGATAATATGTGTGTGTGTGTGTGTGTATATATATATATATATATATATATATATATATATATATATACTGTTTCTGCTTTTGTCTTCCTTCAGTCTACTCAACATAGAAGCCAGGGGATCCTGTTATATCATTCCATTACTTTGCTCAAAATTCTTATCGCCCTCAGAATAAAAGCCAAAGTCTTACCATAGTTTACAAGACTGTATAATCTGTGTTCTATCATCTCTCTTACCTCATCTCTTACCATTATCTACCCCCCACTGCAGCAACACTCATTTCCTTCTTGTTTTATAAATGCAGTATATGCATTCCTTCTTCAGGGTGTTTACATTTGCTGCTTGAAATACTTCCTCAGATGGCCATATGGGTAATGGCTCCCTTACCCCCATGCGGTCTCTCATCAAATGTTACCTTTTCAGTGAGGTCTACTCTGGCCACCCTACACAATATTCAATATTCATTTTCTCACCCCAACAAAATTTCTTACCTCCTGTTCCTGAATTTTTCTCCTTAAAATTTATCACTAACATCATATATATTTTACTTATTTATCCTGTTTACAGTCTATCTCCTTCTCTAGAATGTAAGCTCATGGGGTAATAAATTTTTACATTTATTTTGTTCATCATGGTCTAGAACATGGCATATATCTCCTGGATAAATAAACATGTGTGATTGAATGAAATGCAAAGCACATAAAATGACTGTAAAGTTAAAGTGACAAGACAACTTAACTAAGAAATGAACACTGTAAAGTTCACAGTATCACGCAAACTCAAGACACTACAGTACAATATTTAATAAAAAGTGAGATGAAGTTCACACAATGAAATTTCAAATCAGACAATAGAGTCATAATGTCTTATATAAACTTCTAACATGCCTCTTATAACTTGAGAAATAGTGAATGAAATAATGGGAATTTTCAGTTTCCCTTTCTTAAGTTCAGGCAGTTTTCTGCCGCTGACATAGTTATCTTGATGGACTAATACAGTGAGTGATACAAGCTGCAGCACCACCCTCATGGGCTGAAATAAGAAACTGATCCCCAGCAATTACTTTTTTAAAGCAATTACTGACAAACAGTGAAGTTCTGAGTCTAAACACAGTGCAAAACCAATCAACTCACTTTTTAAAAGATGAAGATAAAGTAATGAATTTAAAATGATGTTAAGACTATGCTTAAAACGTAAAAGGTGAAGAATAGTACATTTGTCAAAATTGTTGAGAGCTTGTTTGTTGATACACTCAAAATTCTGAATATTATATTTGTACAGATCTGTATAAATTGTGTATAGTTCCAATGACTTGTGGTTGGTTTCAGATACAGATGGACTTTTAAAAAGTTTTTCTGCATGGCTTTAACAATAATATGACAGAGAAAATCCAGGCTAACTTTTAAATAAGCAACTTCTTTTTGAAGCTAAGATTTCTACTAATGATCTCATATGAATTCCAAAAAAAGAAATATAGTACAGAATAAATTTCTACAAAGATCATTTTGTTGAATGTCATTTATATTACATTTTAAATATCACATAATATGTCATTAAAAATAAGTATGAATAAAAACTATGGTATCGTTCAATTTTTATAAAATAAAATTTATAGATACATATAATTAGAATACATTTAAAAATCCCAAAGAATTTACACTAAACCCATCAGGGAAGCAAACATTCCATGACACATATTTCTGAAATTTTATCAAAGGTATGCATTGCTTTTGTTTTTAAAACATTTACTACAGCTAGAATTTGTTTCTGAGTTATCATTTGTCCTACTTAAGAATCACTCATGCATATAGATGAAAACACATAAAAAACAGAATCAGATTTTGTTGCTATACATATTTCTAGAGGACTGTTATCATGCAAGGATGTCAAACAAAATAGAATAAGCATACAAAAATGACAAGGAGATTCAATGTATGTATAATTTGAAATAATACGCCTGAGTAGGTTTCCCGAGAACAAAAATCAGGGCTAAGCAGGCTTAAGAAAAATGAAAGAAGAAAAACTAATTTCTAAAAAGGCTGAGATGAATAAGCTGACTAAAAAAACAAAAGGCTGAAGAACAAAAGTCTAAAACACTCCTTTTTCTGGTAAAATAAAAATTTAAAACAAACTTTAGCTTTCTCAAATAAAAAGGGCATATTGAACACTTACAGATAAGTAATTAAATCAGTACACAAGGATTTGGGGGAGCATGGGGAATAACAGTAATAAGGTTTTGGTATGGCTTTTCCTAGTTACCTTTTATTCAGTCTTCAGATGGTGTCTCAAACCTAACTTCTTTCAGTTTTTCAGTTAAAAGCTTTCACAGCACTGTGTATCTTTACAGAACTTAATATAGTTTATAATTACCGTATTTGCCGGCGTATAAGACGATTTTTTGGCCCTGAAAAATATGCCTCCAAGTGGGGGGTCGTCTTATACGCCAGGTACACTTCAGATAGACTGCCCATAGTGCTTGCCCCGTGCCATAGTGGCCTCCCGATGCCCGCCCACTTCATTCCACATACCGTTCAGGCATCAGCAGCGCTGCTGGGTGTATGCTCGGCTGTTATGCGATTTTGCTGTTATGCGATTTTACCACACTCGCAAAATCGCACACAGCCGACCATATAACAAACTCTGTATTTTGAGTGGAAATGTTAGGGGGTCGTCTTATACGCCGAGTCGTCTTATACGCCGGCAAATACGGTATATATGTGTGATTTACGAGTGACTGTGAGCCTTCCTCCCTATAAGCTCCACCATTACGTCCCTGGCCTTAAGAATACTCACTTGATTAGTGTTTCCTGGAAATTAATATTAACAAAGTCTTGGAATAGCTTTGTTTAATTGTTAAGAAAGAAGTTTCCTAAGTCTTGTGTGTCAGGGACACAGAAAATAGTAACTTATGACAGTGTCATTTTGACTTCAAGATACTTTTTACCTTTGAGTCCTTGAATGGGTGGATAGAATGGTTAAATAATCCTAAGTGTACAATGATAAGGAATTAACTGTCATCAAAACCAGTTTTGGATTTCTACTTGCTTTCACTTAAGTCCCACAGCATGAATTTAAAAGGTAGTTCAAAGAATCTAGAGATTGTGGCAACAAAAGTAAATCTAACCGGCACATTCAGAGACTAAATCCATCAGTTCAAAATGGAATTTAGCACATGATAGACATCCAATAAGTATCTGTTGAATGAATGATGATTTAATACACTGAGCTACCCAATTTTACATGGTAATTACAATCTCCACCTCTGTGTCATTTTTGTTTTATTGGCCCATATCCTGGGCCTTACATAGTACTCATTCAAATAATATTTCCTGAATGAATGAAGAAATAAGATTATGAAAAATCATTACCAGATTTTTACCTAAGTTTTATTTAAAAACATTTATTACGTTATTTTTAATTCACCACTGTATGCTAATTCAAATTTCTTGGCTCAATGATTCCTAATTCTGCATCTTCAATATCTTTCTGTTCGTGAATGCTACCAATGTCTAACCTACTAGGTTTTAAGCTCACTGAGAAGTAGCCCATACATTTGTCTGTTTCATCTCCTTACATTGCATAACACGGTATTTTGGAAAAATGAATTTTTAGTAAATATGTGTCAGATGAACAAATTAGAGAAATATGAACTGGCACTTTCCTATAAGAGCATTAAAAATTCTTTTCGGACTACTTTTGTTTTATCATATGTAGTTTTTGTTTTATCATATGAAAGAAAGGCTTTAATAAATTTATCAAATGGAACAAAGCTGTATGAATTTCTATGAAAATCTATCAACATTTAGGACCCAAAGTAAACAGTGTTAGGTACACAGTCTAAATCTGCTTTTACAAGCATCATAAAGAGTCTGGTAACTATGGATATGTCAGTAAGTAACACTGGAATTACACTGAGATTCAGATACTCTTAGATATGTTTAATATAACTGGCTTTACGAAATTAATATGTTTATAATCCAATAAAAAGTAAAGTTCTTTTGCTTGGGCAAGCTAAAACTACAGATAAATATTTTCCGACAGAGTAGTAAAATATGTAAAATTTGAAATTATCTCTGTCCATCTTGATTAGTTATAATGGCAAAGTTTTACACCATGTTAAAAAATAACTGTGATGTGTAAACAAAAATATAGCTTCGAAATAGATGCTATCAGCATCCTGAGATACTCTGGGTTTGGTTTCAGACTACCACAATAAAGTGAGTACATATTCTAAAACACCTTCATTACTATTTAAATTTCACAAATAAATTTCATAGAAACAAAAAGAAAATTTTTATATTAACTTTTCCAATTACATTGATATTTCTTAGAAAGTAACATTTGTATTTTTTCTCAAGTACAGTCATCAAACAATGGTAAAAATATCCAATATTTGCTTAGCACTCCACACCTTACAAAGTGTAGATTCACTAATTTGATTCTTACAATCACTGTGAAAGCTTTTAACCCCATTATTTCCCAAAGCATGGAACTTGTAAAGTGAAAAACTGGGACTGAAATCCAAGTCTTCTGACTCTATGTCCAATGCTTTTTTCAGTGACCCACTATCTGATTTTTGTCCATTCTCTGAAATCTCATATTTCTTTATATCTTACTCTATCAGGACAACTGTCCCCTCATTTATATACAGTTTTTATAATCTACTACTAGATTATAAACTCCTTGATTGGAATAAAACAGGCAATCATTAAATAGCTGGTAATGAATTCCTCCATTTAATGACCACTTCCAGGTAACAGGTCTGGAGGAAGGAAATGGGATAATTTTAGCTCATGTAAGATTCAGCTACACAAAATGAAAAAAGAATTAAACACTCCCCAAAAAGTCTGTATCATCTTAAAACTTCCGTTTTGAATTGACTGAAGAGCTCAACATTATTCATTGAGAGGAAACTAAATAAAATTAAGCAGTAAAAACCTGAGGCATTTACAGAAATACAATCACTCTCATCTTTAATAGAGATCTTTGCCTAATTTCAATGACAAGGAGACTGCCAAATAAAATCTTCAAATGTGAGCTTGTCACAATGTCTACTTTTAGAATATATTATGCTGTTCACTTTAGTCACTTAAAACCAAATGGCAATATTAAAGACAACTGATAATTTGCAATAGCACCACTTCCTTTTTGTTTCTAAGAATACTAATTTAAATACCCTTGTTAAATTTAAACTAGAAGTGGTAATAAGGGAAATATTTCCGTCTTATTTAATGTATGACATATTTCAAAAATAGTAACTTTTAGAGTTTAGAAAACAAAAGAGAACATTTATATAAATTGTAGTTACTTTATATTTCACCTTTCATCTTTAATTCTACAATTCTCATATCATTTTATTGGGTTGTCGGAAAAGTCATGATGCATTTTTTCTATATTTTGTTGAAAAAATGCGTCATGACTTTTCCGACAACCCAATATAAATATTGCCAACATGGTCACATGTAGTAATAGGAAAGATTATCTACATCTGTAACAATGGCACATACAAATTATAAAAGGTTTGACAAGGAAATAAGGAATGATATACAATTAGAAAGAAGTTAGATGTTTGAGAGGAAGCAAATGTGATTATCAAGTTGAGGTCCAAATACTATGTAAAATTAACAAATAATGCAAAAATTATAAAACATACTTAAATGTACTTATTCCTTTTACCCAACTGAATGGCATCTATTGTAATTTAAATATAGTTATTACATGTTAATATACAAAATGCTAATGAACTGTATACTTTTAGGTGGTTACTTTTATGGTATGTGAATTTCACTTCAGAATTAGATAGATAGATAGATAGATACATAGATAGATACATAGATTGATAGATAGAGATGGAGAACCCATCTGAGGTTCATCTAATAATAATGATTCAATCTTTTGGTAAGGTAACTAGTATTATTCTAGTGCCTTGTAGACTGTGAGCTTGAAATCACATGCCATGGAAATGATGGACTGAAAAATGACAAATAAAGGCATCAATTCCTTTCTTATGCCAAAAACATTAAATATTTCTGAGTGGGTAAAGTTAAAAAACATTTTGAGATTATTCTTCATCTATTTAAAGCTAAATAAGGAATGGAAGAAACATAAAGTGCAGTTTAGCAATACTTAGGTAAGTTTCAATAAAAGTAGTACTAGAACAAGCAATGTGAATAGATCATTTTTAAAATTTTTCATCACTTTTTACTTATTAGCATTGCCAACAAGCAATAGCTTATACATAAAGGAAAAACAACCTTAACCCTAAATGAATCATAAAACCAGTTCAACTATCATTGTCCCATTCATTAAGAAAATTCATTATCACTACTTAATAAAATATTTCTTAAAAATCTCTCATGATACCATTTTTGAAGGAATTTCAAGGGCCAGTTTCAAGATCATAAATTTCATAATTAAATTTTTCCAGAAAAATTGTGATAATCACATTTCTTTTTACTTCTAATTTAAAATCTTTTTTTTTTTAAAGATTTTATTGGGCAATTGGGGATGGGGAACAGCCAAGTCGCTGTCCTTCAATCTTAGTTGTGGAGGGCGCAGCTAGCTCAGCTCCAAGTCCAGTCACCATCTGGCTGCCAATGGGCAGCACGCGGCCACTCAGCTCAAGGTGCCGTGTTCAATCTTAGCTGTGGGTGGGCATAGCCCACCATCCCATGCGGGAGTTGAACCAGCAACCTTGTTGTTAGGAGTGCACGCTCTCACCAGCTGAGCCATCCTGCCACCTATTGGCAGTTCAGCGGCAGCTCAGCTTGGGCACAGCTCACTGGCCCATGTGGGAATTGAACTAGGGACCCTGTTGCTCAGAGCTCGCGCTCTTAACCAACTGAGCCACTCGGCTGGCCCCTAAAATATCTTTAATGTTTAAATTTAACTTAAATATTTTATATATTTATAGATTTAAATTTGTAATAATTACTTTTAATTTATTATATCTTAAAGTACATATTTCCTGGGCTGGCCAAGTGGCTCATTGGTTAAGAGTTGGCTTGGGAGTGCGAGCTCTGAGCAGAGGGCCGCCAGTTTGGATTCCACATGGTCCACTGATGCTGCGCCCTCTACAGCTAAGATGGTGAACAACAACTCAACCCAGAGCTGGGCTGCCATGAGTCACTGGCGACGGTGTAGGCTGCATTGGGGCGGCAGTGGGCTGCCGTAAGCTACTGTGAGTGGCCGGCAGCCAGCGTGAGTGGCAAGCATGAGCTGCCGTGAGCCTCCATGAGTAGCTGTCCAATGGCCAGCGACCAATCTTCCTCAGCTGGGAAAAGCACAATGATCACAATACCAACATGGGCCAGTGAAGTGACGTCCTCCAAAACTAGACTGAAGAATAAAAGGACAGCAATTTGTCTGTTCCCCTTCCCCAATTCCCCAATGCTGTTGCTGTTGCTCCCTTCCCCAATTCCCCAATAAAAAATTAAAAAATAATAAAAATAAAAATAGATAAAATACATATTTCCTTAATAAGATAACATATTAGTGAATTTTGGAGCACTGTATTTAAGGAATTGAGAAAAAACAACTTAAATGCTAAACTTTAAGTGTTACAGACATTTATCAAAAACTACTCATCATTTTATTACCATTATACTATAATGAACTACATTAGGACATACATATAAACCAAATTAAAAACGTACATCAACAAATTGTATGATAAAGTGTCTCCTTTGTCCATCAGAATATACAGAAAGGACATATTCACCAGGTTTCCCATGACTTTCTCGCACCAAGAAGTCTCCTTGTTGTTTTAACAGATCTTGAGCTTCTATTCTGGGAATTGCACCATGGTACCAGTCCTGCTCTGCCAGGGGCTTCTCACTTGTGGGGATTGTATCACAAAACTTAAGCAAACATTGGGAAACAAAAGAAGAAAGAAAAAACTAAATTAGAAAAAATAGCATTTTTTTTCTGGTAAAATTCACAGCAATTATAAATACTTCTTCCACATGTTCTCCCCTTTAATTGACCACTTAAAAGTAATGTGATAAACATGAAATTTTCATAATTTTTAAAGCAATATCTCCTGGAGCATTGATGCTAAAGTTTAACACAAGTACATAGCCTTCAATATTTTAAGCTTATTTGTTTTTTCTACCTATTATACATGCTTACACATAATATTCATATTCAGAGTTAATACTTGTAGTCTAATTCACCTGTATCATAAAATAAATCCATATATTAAAAATTTATCAACCAAAGAATACAATAAAAAGGGGGTATTATCAGAGAAATTTATCACAAAACAACTTCATTTTTATTCAAATTAAGTTATTTGTTTTGATTTCTGGTCAATATGTTGAAGCAGGTAAAAGCTGTACTTGCCTCCTCTCACAGCCACATCAAAATGACAACTAAACTACAGAAAAACTATCACTGAGAATCACCTGAATCTTGCTGAACTGAAATCCTACAACTAAGGACATGCAGAAGCAGCCACCTCGAGACTGGTAGGAGGGGCGGAGATGCAGAACGGGCTGGTCCCACATCTTCGTGTGACCTTTAAAAATTAGGTGGGATAACTTGGCTGTGGAGGTTTCCCGCCTCCCCAAGGAGTGAGGGGTCCCAGCCCCACACAAGGCTCCCCAGCCCAGGGTTCCAGTGCCAGAGAGAGAAGTCCCCATAACTTCTGACTGTGAAAACCAACAGAGATGGTGGCTGAGTGCGACCAGATGCAATATGATTTTGCTTATATGTGGAATCTAAAGAACAAAATAAACAAACAAACAAATCAGAAACAAACTCATAGATACTAAGAACATTTTGATGGCTGCCATATAGGAGGGGGGTGGGGGTGTAGGTGGAAAAGGGAAAGGGATTAAGAAGTACAGATTGGTTGTTACACAGTAGTCATGGGGATGTAGGGTATAGCATAAGGAATATAGTCAATAATATTGTAATAACTATGTATGGTGTCAGATGGGTACTAGATTTATCAGGGTGATAGATGGGAGGTGGATTGGGGGGAAAGAATAAAAAAAGTGAAGAGATTAAAAAGTACAAATCAGTAGTTACAAAATAGTCATGGGGATGTAAAGTAAAGCATAGGGAATATAGTCAATGATGTGGTAATAACTATGCGTAGTGCCAAGTGGTACTAGACTAGTCAGGGAGATAACTTTTTAAATTATATAAATGTCTAACTACTACACTGTACACATGAAATTAAAATAATGTTGACTGTCAGCTGTAATTGAAAAATTAAAAAGGGGTGGGGGAGGTGACAGGGAATAAAAGGTTTAAATTTCCAGATATAACACAAATAAGTCGTGGGATATAATATACAGTATAGGGAATATAGTCAATAATATTATGATAGCGTGGTATGGTGTCAGATGGTTGTTGGACTTATCATGGTGATCACTTCTTTAGGGATATAAATGTTGAATAATTATGGTGTACATCTGAAACTAATATTGTATGTTAGCTATATTTTAATTAAAATATTTTTTTTAAGTTATTTCTTGTTATGGGGTTAACTGTTTATTACACGGGCTGTGGACTGTCCATATTCTATGTTCCAGGAGCACTAGCTAAAGCTTAATTTGATGCCGCCTTGCTGCTGTGTCTTCCCATTCTTATCCTCATTTCCAACTCCCTTAACCTCTGCCACATGGATGGCCCTGATCCTACATGGCGACGGCAGATAAAACCTTAGGAGAAACAGCACCGCTGAAAACCATCAACAGACAACTATAAACATGTGGCAAATAAGTAAAAATCTAAGCCATGAGCGCTGCAGGAAAAGCAAATTATCTGTTATTTTAGAAGGCCAAATGCTAATACCAAATAGCAGAGATAGCTAAGAGCTGATTATATTTCCCTGAAATGCCTTTGATTGATAATAGATGGAACCACACATTTTATGATTACAAGTATAAAGTTGTTTGTTTGGTTGTTTTAAATCATCCTCAGGAACTAAATCATCCCAGATGGTAGGAGTGCTTTATGGGTAAGGTACAATAATGTGCACAAACTCTTTAGGTTCTCAAAATACAATATGCACAATGCCTTATTTAATTTATAAACTGGGAAAATTAAACTTAATAATGAATAAAAGGCAAATATTCATATAGGAGCTTTTTCAAACTAATATTATGAACTGCATACAGGAAAAAAAGTATGGTATCTTTGTAGTAATGAAATGAATGAGTTTTAAAGACAGACTTCACCATTTTGTACCACTGAAGAGGACAAAAACTTGTTAATCAAAGCTCCATTTTATAATATCTCAGACTTACCTTATTGATAAAAAAAAAACAAACCTTAATAAAGCCAAAATAGACGTCAAAGAAGGGTTCACACTTTGGTTTCTACTTCTACCACTTATGACATTCTTTATTCTTTAAAGATATACACGGTGTGACTGTACATGGACATTTTTTGTAAGCTAAATAAGCCTTTTTTAATACTAATTATGAAAAATGCAGTATTTCCCCAAAGACTGAAATCATGATCCCAAAAATGGGTTTAAAGAACAAACTGTATAAAGAACCAGACACACTGCAAATCTTTTTATACACACACACATATCATTTTAAAACAAATGCATAATCTACACAAAATTAACTTTTTGTATATATTGTACTAATAGTTTATAACTCTTAAAGTAGTTAGTCAAAATGACTATTTCTTTCCCAAAATTTTATCACAGTGTATCTCCTTATAGTAAAAATTAAAATTTCTACTATAATAGAAATATTGCCAAGTCTTACCAATGGCAAGAGTTTCATTGATTTTCCCCCCTCTGGAATAAAGATCAATAAAATAAGAGATTCAATATTACCTCTTTGTAAAGAACTTGTTTTCATCACTATCTCTCAAAAAAAAAAAGTCCTACATAATAGAAAAGTATCACAAACAAAAATGTCATGTGCTTGATTTCTTGTCCTATTCAACCTATCCTCCCAAATTTTGATTTATTTAGAATTGAGAGAATGCAGAGCCTGGAGAATTCATTAAGCCAAAAGGGCACTTGAAGTACAAAAGCTCAGCTAATACTCTGAGAAATTCGAAGGTGAAAACTATGTTTGGGGGAAAAAAATACATCTCAAAGAACAGTAAGTTGTTTTTTGTTTTTGTTTTTGTTTTTTTAAGAATGAATAAGAAGGAACCTATATTGCTATTTCAAAAGGGTTACACTCCCGTTCTTTGCATTTATTAGCATCTTTTGGGTAGGAAAGGAAACTTAGAGACCTGGTGTTCCCCACCCCCTAGATAACACTGTTTTAAAATGTAGGCTGGACTCACTCAGAGTGCATGTCTGTGTATAGGTGTGTGCACACACAAACACAGGGCAAGCTCATACCTAGCCCCTGTCTGGGTCTATCAGGTCTTCTAGGGACTTCTCTAGAAGCACTGGAAGGAAAACTTTTATTAATACGATTTCAATGAATTCAAATACAATGTTGCAAACTTGATAGTAATAGAATGTAGGATGTGTCAGCCACAAAATCCAACATCACAAGAGCTGTCATAAAGACACCAAAGGTGAAATGAAGATTTTTACCTCAAATATCGCATCTTTTTAAGTCTCCGAGAGAAAAGATTTTTTCCTTGTGGATATATTATGAGATTTTTGCCAAAGGTGTGGTGAAAGGGAAGCCTCTTTTTTTAAAGTTATAGTTAAACTAATACATTTAAGTTATTAATATATTTCACAAGACAAACTTTCCTGATTGACTGGGCTAACTATTTAGTTAGATATTTTCCCTTGGCCTTGTTCTTAAACAATATTCCAGCAAATACATGCTGCACTTAGTGAAACAAAAAGATTGGTCTAAATGAAGAGGCAATGAGGAGTCAGCACTAGAAAATGGAAATTTTTTTTTCCCTTGGGGAAAAAATTGCCTGTTATTTTTCCCTAGTCAGGCTAATTTCCAACTATGTAATGAAGATTTGTATGCCTTTATCTCAAACATTTGAGTGCAAGATGAGCTCCTTTTTGAGAGACAAAATATTAAAAAAAAAAAACCAAAGGTCTGAATTCTATTAAAATTAAGCACCCAATTAATAAATCATTTTAAAAAAATTAAAGTAAAATAGCATGGGAAAACATACAAGTAAGCCTCTCAATAATCTTTAACAAACTAAATAAAACTTTAACACAAACTAAACTTTATGAATTTTCAATAACTATAAAGTATTTAATTATCTTTTCTATTCTTACATAAATTTAGTTATTAATTTAATAATATAAGTAATGAGCTATTTCAAATCTAGTTTAATAATATATTGAGGAGACTACAAGTAACTCACAGGATTTTAAACATTTCTCAAAAATTTCACAAAGACCCCTTTATTATTAAGTTATATATTACCGGGAAATTTTTGGAGGAGATTAAGAACTAAATGTCATACAATCAGAGTAAGAGAACCACCAATCACCTGGAAAAGGTGGGAAATACTGGTCTCTTGAAAGGAATCTGCTTGATTATAGTAAAAGCCATTTTCAGTGAAAGGGAAATATAACCTGAGATACGAAAAGTATATTTTATACCATTGAGAATTTGTAGTTGAATAAGCACTTAACATAACATGAAAATATAAATAATAATGTTCCTCCTTCCACTTTTTTTCAAATTTCTAAATATTTACATTTTGAATTTATTAACTGAATTAATTCTTAAAACAATAAAAACATAAAATATTCTGGATATTTGATACTCATGATCATTTGCCTTCAGGCTAGACAGATAGGATGTAAATGAATTAGAGCACTGTATTTTCTTTAACAAACACTGATAAATTCTATTTTTTTAGTAATAAAGCAGAATTGATCACTGGTAAAGATACACTGGTGTCTTTAACCAAAACAAAGGTTCTTTACCTAATGTTTAGT